TCAAATTTAATCTGAACTTATTGAGTAATAACAGTTCAAACCAATGCATACTAAAAGGAAGAACCATTCCCTCCAAAAGAAAGTTAAGGTACATGGAATCTAGGGTCCTAATGGTACCGATTAGTAATACTATAATGTTTCTATAAGTAAAGGCTGGAATTTGAGGAGAGATCAAATGAACATTCCAATGTTTTTCTAAGACTACTTTGCCCTAGGGGCAGCTAGAAGGTGCAGTGGATAGAGCACAGGCCCTGGAGTCAAGAGGACCTGAATTCAAATCAGGCCTCAGACCAGACACTTGACACTTACTAGCTGTGTGACCCTAGGCAAGTCACTTAACCCTAATTGCCTTAAAAAAAAAATACTTTGATACTTTGCCCTGAAGATAATTATAGACCAGATAGCAGACACCAAGAAGTCTCTGAAAAGTATTGCTCAAGAAGTATTTGCTGACAATTAGATCTCTAATAACAGCAAAAAAAAAAATGAGAAATTATTATTATTATTTTTTTTTTTTGGTTAGGCAACAGGGTTAAGTGACTTCCCCAGGTTCACACAGCTAGTAAGTGTCTGCTTACACATTGCATCACCTATCTTCCCCAAAATGAGAAATTCTTGATTTGGCTTCAACATATTTCCATCTTTATATAGTAATGGAAGCAATAAGAGGAGCAGCTATCCTCAAATTCATTCTGAATGATAAGGAAAAAATAGTGACCAAAGGAGAAATAACAAAAACACTGAGAAGAATTTACTAAGATATCACAGAATACATTAAAGGTAAGGAAGTGGACATCTACTAGGCTTTTAATTGTAACCCTGCTTTTTGCAATAGTACATTTGAAAGAGATCAGAGAAAGGGCAGACAGACGCCTATAAGTTAATGTTAAAAAGAGGAAGTTGATTAAGGAGACATTTAAGGCAATTCTACTTAATTTATTATTTAGTTCCATACTAATCAAACTATCAAAGAACTGTTTTAGAGAGCTAGAAAATACAGTAACAAAATTCATCTGGAAGAACAAAAGGTCAAGAATATAAAAAAAAACAATTTTTTACGATGTCAAGGAAGGTCCTGGTCTGGCAGATTTCAAACTATATTGCAAAGTGGTAACCATCAAAATAATTTGGTACTGGCTAAGAAATAGAATGGTGAATCAGTGGAATCGTTTAGTAGTAAATAACCACAGTAATCTAATGTTTGACATTCCCAAAGACACAAGCTTTGGAGGTAAGAACTCAACATTTGAGAAAAAGTGGTGGGAAAAATGGAAAGCAGTTTATCAGAAACTTGGAATAGACCAACATCTCATATCATCTAACAAGATAGGGTCAAAATGGCTAGATGACTTAGATATAAAGACTGATACTATAACTAAGTTAGGAGAGCACGGAAAAATGCACTTGTTATGTATATGGATAAGAGAAGAGTTTAGGACCAAATTAGAAAGACAGAGAATTACAGGAGATAAAATATATATTAAGAAGCAATTTAGGAAAATAGAGATGTACAACATGTACACAGAAAAGTATGATGCAAGATAAGGAGTAAAGTAGAGGGCAAAGGTGAGATCAATCAGTCATCAACAAAGACATATTAAGTGCCTACTGTGTGCCTGCTATGTCAGAAGGAAGGAAGTAGCAAAGGCAGAAAAGAAGGAAAACCAGGAAAAGCCTCTTACAGAAGGTGGGATCTGAATTGAGTCTTGAAGGAAGTGTAGGAAGCCAGGAAATGGAAGGGAGGAGGGAAGAGTATTCCAGTCATGAGAGACAGCCAGTGAAAAGGCACAGAACTGGGAGATGGAGTCCCATGTTCAAAGAACAGCAAGAAGACCAAAGCAGCTGGATCACAGAGTATATGCAGAGGAGTCAAGTAGGAAGACACTTTAGTTAGGGAAATCAATGAAATGTCTACTACAATAATCCAAGCATGAACTGATAAGGGCCTGCATCAGCGTGGTAATGGTCTAAGTGGAGAAAAGAAGACATATAGAAGAGAAGCTCTGAAAGAAGAAACAACAAGATTCAGCAGCACATTGATTAGGTGGGATGAGTACAAGAGAAGATACAAGGTTGACAATAAGAAAGCAAGAGGGGGTGGAGATTGGCAATGTGCCAGACCATAATAAGAAAGTTGGGAAAGGGGGAAGTGAGTTCTATTTTGAACATGACGAGTTTGAAACGTGTATGGGGTATGTCTACGTCCAGTAGGCAGTTGGTGATACAAGCCTGGTGGCAAAGAGAGAGATTATGTTTGTTTGTTTTGTTTTTTGGCTAGGCAATAGGGTTAAGTGACTTGCCCAGGGTCACACAGCTCGTAAGTATTGGGTGCCTGAGGCCAGATTTGAACTCAGATCCTCCTGCATTCAGGAGCTCTACAAAGAGAGAGATTATTGCTAGATAAAGCGATTTGCGAATCCAAATCACAGAGCTAATCGAACTCATACGAACTGTTAAGATCACTAAGGAAGATAAAATAGATAAGAGGAAGAAGAGAAGAGAGTCAAGGCCAGAAGCTTTGGGGACACCCAAAGTTAGTGGGTGTGATACAGACAGAGATCCACCAAAGGAGAATAAATAAGAAAGACAGAAGTTACACAGACACAAGAGCACCACATCTGAAGAAGGATATCAACCAACCCAGTCCTAATACTAATGATTTCTTTTGAAATGCTCCAGTGACTGAAGGATCAAAGGGGCCCTAATGCGGGAGTTGGAGGTCAGCACAAGAATCCAAGGAACCAAAAGTGAGCCTGGGCAAGGTCAACTACCCACCCAATAACACAACCAGGAGTAAAACCTAGTCCTGGTACCAAGAATTAATTATGGAATTTAAACTAGTGATCAGTAAAACAAAAACAAACAAAAAAAAATGCAAACAAGCATCAACAATTACCAAAAATCTAAAGATCCCCCCCAAAGAAACCCAGCTCAGAAACAACTGCAAGTAGAGACCCTAAGGGTAAAAAAACCACTTTTCCAACAGAATCACATGAATATCTAAAATATATAAAGCCAAAGATTAAAAACAAAAGAAAAGCTCTTGAGGAAAGAATTGGAAGAACCTATTCAGAGTTTGATATAGAAATACATCAAATTCAATAGGAAAACAAGTAGAAGTGGGGAGAGAGGTTTAAGACAGAGGATATTGCAAGCAAAAAACTTATTAATCTTGAAGGGAGAGATTAAAAGGAAAGAAAACAAAAAAAAAAACTAGAACCTAAAGGGGTGCCTTAGATTGTCTCTAGGACAACTTTACACAACTAAACAAATCGTGGCATATGAATGTCATGGAATGTCATTGTGCTATAAGAAAGGATTAAAGAGATCATTTCAGTCATTAAGTCAATAAGCACTTATTAAACACCTACTATGTTCCAGGCACTATACTTATCGCTGGGGATATGAAGAAAGAAAAAATAAAGGCCCTGCCCTCAAGAAGTTAAAAATCTAATGAGGGAAACAATATTCAAACAATTATATACAAACTACATATGGGACAAAAAGGAAATAAACCAATAGATGGCATTGGGAAAAATTTCCTAGAGAATGTAGGGATTTTAGCTGGAATTTGAAGGAAGCCAGAAGGTCAGACCTGAGGAGAAAGAGCATTCCAATGACAATGCTCTAAGCCAAGAGACAGAGTTCTGTTGTTTTTTTGTTTGTTTGTTTTTTGCTCAGATGATCTAGGTCATACAAACTGACACAGAAGGAAGAGAACAGAACCAGCAGAACAATTTATTCAAGAATAGTAACATTGTAAAGCAAGACAGTTTTGGAAAACTTCAGCACTCCGATCAAAGCAATTACCAATCATATCTCCATGGGACTAAAGCATGTTACCTATCTCCTGACAGACAAGGAAAGGATACTTGTTAAGTGTCTATCAGGAGCCAAGTACTGAGCTAAGCACTTTACAAATATCACCTGACTTGATCCTCATAGCAACTGTGTCAGTTAAGTACTGTAATTATCCACATTTCACAGCTAAGGAAAATGAAGCAGACAAATGACTTACAAAGGGTCACACACCTAAGAAACATCTAGAGCCAGATGTGAAATTGGACCTTGCTGATTCCTGGCCCAGAGTTCCCTCCACTGTGCCACCTAGCTAAGATGGACACAAGGTCCAGAAAGGGATATACATTTTCAAACATGATTGGTGTGTGAATTTGTTTTTTTGAGAACTTCTTTATTATAAGGGGTTTTTTACATCTTTCTTTCTCAGGGGGTTGGGGAAAGTTGCAAAAAAGAAACATTAATGATGTCAACATTAATGTCAATGTTAACATTGTCATTATTATTATTATTATTATTATTATTATTATTATTATATTAATTAATAAAAATGTTAATGTCAATGTAATGATGGGGGGACCACTATAATACTTTTTTAAATGCATAGAAGAAAAAAGAAGTTTAGAAGAAAGAAAAGACAAGTAAGAATAATTTGGAAATTAACACATGGAACTCATTATATACATTTTCAAAGACTAATAGTATGGAGTTATGATTTCATATACAATCCTTTTAAATTCTGCTCTGGGTATAGAAATGTTCTACTTTTAGTGTTTTAAGTTAAGAATTGTTTTTTTAAGAGAAGATGTAGAAGGAAATATAATAGCTCTCACCTTTATTAGAAGGATGTGATAAAGAGTTATTAGACATAGTTTGCTTAGTAAGAACCATGGGTGGAAGTTTCAGAAATGCTGATTTTTTTTAACTCTGCGTAGAGAAAAACTTCAAAATAGTAAGAGCTGTACAAAACTGAACTGAATGCCTTGGGATGTAGTGAGTGCTTCATCACTGGGATGTGAACAGAAGCTGGTTGAGCATATAAGGGATTCCTATTTAGTTAGAAGGTAGATTAGATGAACTTTGAGGTCCCTTCAAACACAGAAATGGTAGAGCACTATAAGGTCCCAGTTCTTGTATCAAAAGGAAATACTGAAAAGACTGTAAAAAAAAAAAATCACTCAATCGCCAGCTTGAAGTGGTACCTTTGTCAAAAGAAAAACACGCTTCTGAAGACGTCGGACCAGGTCTTCATTATACTCCCGCTTCTTCCTCTCTTCCAACAGTTCACTCTGGACCTTAAGCAAATCTTCTATTAGCTGCTGACGCATCTTTTCCAATATTCGAGCACTATAAGAAAACCAGAAGATATTTAAAAAAAAAATGACCTCTGGCTCATATTTCCCCAATTATCTGCCAACATGAAGATAAAGATATGGAAGAAGGGCGCTCAGGTCAAGGTATGGAATATCTGGGTGATGTCAGCAGTAGTTCTAGAGATACCAAGCAAGGGATGAAATAGGAGCTTTCTTGGTTTAGAAACAGCATTATCCATAACCATACCCTAAAATAGATTTGCATGTGCATATTTTTTCATTCAATTTACTTACTTATGAATAGCTACTTAACTCCTTTCAGGAGTTTCTCAATTTCAAACTATGCATTCAAACAACACCCTGTCCAATCCCAGAAAACATGAGGGGGATTTTCACATCAAAAGTATGCAAGGAAAGAAAAAAACATCAAATGATAAGAAAAGGAGAGTTGAATAAGCTAAATTACCAAACAAAATACTTCATACTTGAATCACAGATAGCCCAGATGTGCAGTTATGGATGGCAGTAATTTAACACTACCATCCACATAGTTCCTGTACTCTCAACATCCTATGCATTCTAAAAGAAAGGAAAAGCTTTTAGGGCTAAAAGTAATATAGATGAATGATGTCTACAACTGGAGAAAAACTATCGGAAGAGATGAGTGAGGGGCAAGTGTCCTCAGTACAGCCAAAGGGGAAAGGTTGGAAGGCAGAAAACACTGAATTGGGTCCATTCATTTACACCAAATAAAGCTGAATGACAATTCACAGAAAGTCCAATGAGAGAGATGTATTGTGCTAATATAATGCTATTAAATATAAGTAAATAAAGTTTAATATCTCTTCTTTAGGCTTAAAATTCCCACATGCTGCTTTGCCATAAAAGACTAAGAAAATAATCAAGGAAAGACATTAAGGTACTCAAGTTAATAAACCAAAGACAAAAAAAGGATTTGATAAACCAAATACTCTATTATACTAACAAAATCCATGTGTGTGTGTGTGTGTATGTAAGCCATTTCTAGACAAATCAACATGTTCTAAGATATACTTTTAACAACATTCTTCAGACCAGAATTAATGAAGATGCAAAATCCCAGACAGCTATGATGTGAGGCCTGGATTCCATAAGCCAAGATGTCAAACTTCAATTTGTTTCTCTTGAGAAAACAAACACTGAAACTAAATATAAAATATCCACTCAGCTAATTCCTTCACCAGTTCCAGGTATCTATTCTGTCTGTGTCACTCTCACAGACATACATAAAACCTAAAATACATACATAAATATTGACTTGAAACAGACAAATTAAAAGGATATTTTGAGTTCCAGTTCAATTTCAAACTATTCATAGACCAATTAAATAATCAAGAACTGTGAAATCAGCTCTTTTCATCACTGAATTCAGGTGGGGAAGTTCACAAGAGCTTTAAATGACTGTGCAAAAATGGGTAATTTAATTAGAAAAATGACACCAATTCCCTGGATGTCTTTTAATTAGCTACACATACAAAGACCACTATGTGACCCAACACATGATCAGAGGTGGTAGGATACTGAAAAGCAAAATTGGCCTCTCACAAATTATATGACCATCTCCAGCCCACAAACTTAAGTCTTACAAAATGCTGAAAGCAACAAATGGAAGCAAATTTAAGATATTACAAAGAGAAAAACAAAGTATGTACATATCTCCATGGACTTTCAAGCAAATGTGAAACAATGGTGATAGTATTTGGTTTCATTTGTTTTGTTTTGTTTTTTAAACAGCCTCCTATAAACAAATCCGAGAAACACTATATATTCTCATGCAGTAGAGCAGAGAAGCTAAAATGTCCTGCAGAATCATTAAGCAGCAGCACTGAAATAGGAGTCTGGTGACTTGGACAATTATCTCTCTGAATTTTAATTGTCTGACTTCCTTGTAAAATAAAGGGGATAACCTAGAGAGCCTCTTTGGTTACTATGTAACTATAAATGCAAATCTAAAGAAAACTCTTATTCGACAAAATATCACATACAAACATAGACCCCATATGCTGTCCTAACCAATTTCAAAGCCCATCTTAAAAAACTGCTGGGAAAACGAGAAAACCATGCGGCACAAACTAAGTATAGATCAACATCTTACACTGTATACCAAGATAAGGTCAAAATGGGTACATGATTAGATAGAAAAGATCGTACCATAAGCAAATTAGAAGAGCAAGGAATAGTCTACCTATCAGATCTATGGAGAAGGGAAGAACTTATTACCAAACAAGAGAGAGTGCATCAGGAAATGTAAAGTAGATAATTTTGAATATATTAAATTAAAAAGATTTTGCACAAACAAAATCAATTCAACCAAGTTTAGAAGGAAAGAAGAAAGCTGGGAAACAACAGTACATCAAGTGTCTCTGATAAATGTCTCATTTCTAAAAATGTATAGAGAATTGAGCCAAATTTTTAAGAATACAAGCCATTCCCCAATTGATAAATGATCAAAAGATATGAATGGGCAGTTTTCAGAGAAATCAAAGCTATCTATTGTAATGTGAAGAAGAAACACTCTAAATCATTTCTGATTAGAGAAAAGCAAATTAAAACAACTCTGAGGTACTACCTCACACCTATCACATTGGTTAAAATGACAAAAAAAAGGAAACTGATAAAACATAGGAAAGGATGTGGGAAAACTGGGACACTAATGTACTGTTGGTAGAGTTGTGAACTGATCCAATCATTCTGGAGAGCAATTTGGAACCATGTCCAAAGGGCAACAAAACTGTATATATCCTTTGATCCAGCAATATCACTACTAGATCTGTACCCCAAAGGGATTACAAAAAAGGGAAAAGGACCTATATGTATAAAAATATTTATAGCAGCTCTTTTTGCAGTGGTAAAGAATTGGAAATTGAGGAGATGCTCATCAATTGGGGAATGGCTGAACAAGTTATGGTATGTGAATGTAATGGAATACTGTTGTGCAATAAGAATTGATGAGCAGGCAGATTTCAGAAAAATCTAGAAAAATTTATATGAATGGATGCAAAATGAAATGAGAAGAACCAGGAAAACACTGTCCATAGTAACAGCAACACTGTATGATGATCAACTATGAATGACTTAGTACTTCTACACAATATAATGATCCAAGATCTTAAAAAAGGACTCATGATCGAAAATGCTATCCATATCCAGACAAAGAACTGATGGACTCTGAATGCAGATCAAACCATACTACTTGTGCTTTATTTTTTTCATAGCTTTTTTTTTCATTTTTGTCTGTTTCTTCTGTTGCAACTGTGACTAATATGGAAATATTTATTACATGACTGTACATATATAACCTATATCAAACTGTCTACCATTTTAGGAAGAGGGGAGGGAGTAAGGTGGGAAGGAATTTTAGAATTCAAAATCTTGTAAATATGAATACTAAAAATTGTCTTTACTTATAATTGGGAAAAAATGTTATTTTTTAAAAGTCCATCTTGATATCATTAATCCCCACTATAATATCATTCAGGGATCACCCAAATCGCATATCACATAGTTAATAACAATCCATATCAACTAACTACTAATTAGTCCTCAAAGAACTAACTACTCCTAATAATATTGTTTTTCCTAATCTCATTGTTTTAGGGATCTGATTAACAATGTTAAATAGGCAAGTCTATGTAACAAGTTAAAAGAGAACAGATAAACTGGGTGGGAAAAGTTTTTCATTAAATGACAGACTACCACCACCATCACCTGCCATTACACAAACAAGGCAAACTGTATATCATTTCACTTCCCTTCTTAGAGAGCATACTATCTAATTTGCATTGCTTAATACACTTTAAAATTTTGAATTTGGCTAAATAAATTGCCTCTCACTTGTGTAGTACAGTTACAAGTCACACTGGGGAAGTACTAAAGGATACATACTTCTAAGATGCTATTTAGAAAAAAAGAGATGGGGCTACTTTTTTGGAATTACTATGGATAGAATAATCTGAGAAAGCACACAGTAATGGTTTAGGAAAAGTAAAGTAACACTATCAAAGCAAAGGGAACAACCAGAAAAGCTAGTCAAGTTATCTAGTACCATGGTGCATATTTAACCTATTCTACTGATCTACCACTCTATTTCTTAGCCAGTAACAAGTAGTTTTGGTGATTGTTGCTTTATAATACAATTTAAGATCTAGCGTGGCTAGGGCACCTTCCCTTCATTTCTCTTCATTAATTCCTTTGATATTCTGGACCTTTTGCTCTTCTAGATGAATTCTGTTATTATTTTTTCTAGCTCTATAAAATATTTTTTTGGTAATTTGATTGGTATGGCACTGAATAAGTAAATTAATTTAGGTAGAATTGTCATTTTTATTACATTAGCTCGGCCTACCCACTAGCAATTGGATGTTTTTTTCATCTAGTCCTGTCTTTCTTAAGTGATTTCTTAATTGATCTTTCAAGCTTCCTGTCAACAAGTGGCTCTCTCCCATCCCAGGAACTCCATGTGAATGTGGCAACATACTCTGTTAACTCTAAGATGATTCTGCAGCACCACAAAGATGAATGTTCATATAAACTTTTTTTTTGCCATTCAAAGAAATTCCAGCAACCAAATCTGAGAGCATTGATCCATTGTGTCACCAGCCAAGATTTCACTGTGTTGAGCATGTAGTCACCAGTCAAACCAAACCTTCGTTACAAAGGGAAAAGAGAGAAAACAAACTCATAAAAAATTAAAACCCCTTTTCCATGCTTAAGTTGAACTCTACGGTCAGTGACATTTCCATGAACCTTTAAAAGTTCAAAAATAAATCTTGGTTCTTAAAGAAAAGGCTGGGTATATTTATTGATCAAGGACTTATCTGAGTTGCCATATACTGAATGGAAGCAAGGTCTGAGCTTTTGAGAATCCATCTTTGTACTTCGAAGTTCTCTTTAATGTAATCTTCATGAGAAATCTTTGTTTCTAAGACTCTTCTTTGAAGGAACAATGAAAGGAGACAATGAATTCAAAGGCTGTAGGAAACATTTTAATGACAT